AGCTAAGGCAGATAAGGTCAGGTTTTAAGATTCAAAACAATGCAAAGGTAAAACCTTTGAGATAGCTGCAGACGCCACGTGAGCCAGGGAGCTTCCACTGGCTCCTCCAAAGCGAAAGCTGAGAATACCTCTCCGGCATCACTCTGGGAACTACCACGGTCGCTCACGTCATCTTGCTCCGCTTCCCCCCGTCCAAATTCAGCCGTCTGATGCTTGCCAGGAGCAGCTGCTGCGACCTCCGCCTTCTCTTGCTCGGCCTTTGGCCCTTTTCGTTTCTTTCCTGGTCGCGAGGGCCCATCGGGAGTGGGCCGCTTTCTGGGTTGGGGTTTCCTTTGCAAAGCCCGCAGGGCTTGCATGACCCGTGACATCTCACTGGATGCAGCCATTTCACTGTTGACTTTGTCCTCTTGGACACGATCACTTCCCGTAATGTCGAATTGCCACAACTTTCGCACCTGGCCCACGGACAAAACATAGAGGACCCAATCCGTCGATCGCTGAAAAAGCTGGAAGCACCAGGACTCGTTGCTGCTGAAATGCAACTGCCCGTCCTGGGAGCTCGTCATTCTTAAAATCAAAGAGACATCCTCGGGCATTTCCTCTTCGGGTTCTTCAGTAACAGCTTCGAGGCGAAGCATGGCAGCCTCTACGGGGGCCTTGCGTGTGTGGTACGCCACAACAGCATACTCCGTGCAGTCGGCGGCATCAGAAGCGAACGCCAACACAAGCGGTTCCTCTGCCATAGCCAGAGGCAAAGGAGCTCGCTTCATGATGGTATGAACCAACAGGGCGTGAAATCCCTTCAACCCGGCTTGAAGCCCTGCCGGCAGACTGTTGAAGCAGACCTGGCTCCCACAGGTGGCAAAAAGGTTGTGATCTGTATCTGGCGCACCCACGAAACTATCCAAGTTTTCGGGCTGTAGCTGCTGGGTGCGCTCTGCAAAGGTTTGCTCCATGGTCCGTTTGCGATCCGCGTTGTCTACCACAACGTGGCGGGCTAGCGGGAAGCCTTCTTCCGAACCTATACCCCAAGGGCCTCCCGAAAACGTGTTTGCTTCCCCTGCCGCTTCTTGCAACTGCTCCTGGTTGAGTCTGTCTCTGGCAGCAGCGTTCTGCACTTTGGCCTTCTGTGTCCACCTGGCCTGCTCCTGCCGAGAAAGAACTGACCAAGCTCCTGAGTGGTCGAGTAAGCACACTCCAACAATAATGATTTCAAAAAGCCAAACTTAAAGCCCGGAACCTCAACTATAACCTGCTTGGGGCTTTTCGCCTCTTGGTGTGCTGCAATCCCTATCCCTACATAGATACGATGGTTATTGTTACGATGGTTACTATATACTATATACTATATATATATTATAATATAAAAATAACAGTACATTTATACTTGCAGAAAATATATATACGATATGTACANNTATCATCTGATATCATTATTATTACATGATGCTACTGGGTGATGATATATAACATGCTTAAATGATAAATGTTAAAAGCTAAAGCTACAAACTACATAGTTTACTAAAGTCATTACTAAAGTTTAACTAAACTAAAGTCACTAAGTGAAAGTCGCATTTCACCGAAGCTTAACATTAGGAAACTGGACAAGCAAGGCGCGGTGCGCCCGCGCAATCATCGTCCAGCCTTGGTTGGCACGGCGGCGACCAACAGCAGCCGCTGCATTCTGTTCGCGAAACTCCCGAGTAAACAGATGCAGGCCAGTGCTGCTGCGGGAATGTCGTCTTTTGCGAACCCACTTGGGACGAGCCCTGTTGGTCTGGGGCCGCTGCATCAGTCCATCACGCACACGATTCTTGCGCCACGAGCCCACTAAGTGGGTCATAGCGTACGTGTAGTGCTTGGCAGCAAGCTGGCTACAGCTGATCTTGTGGCCACGGGTCAAGGTCCACTTCTGATACCGTGCAAAACAACGCTCCACGTAAGTCGAGGTGGGCACGACCCGGTTGAAAACCGCTTCGACGAAAGCGCGCGTGTCTGCCGACAACAACTCCTCAAGCGATGGACAGATGCCACGCAGCTTTTCCGAAAAGTTGTCCAGACAGCAGCAGTTGCTGTCCAACAACTGTTGGGCGCAAGCTGTCCTTGCTCCATCATCATCCGACAACAGGCCAAGCAACTTCCAAGGATATCGTTGCCATGGCTCAGCAAGCTTTCTCCAAAGCTGCCCAATAATGGTGCACACGGCTCGCCTTGCGGTCCGCAACCTGGCCTGAGGCCACTGCCGTACTGGACCATAAAACGCAACTAGCGGTAGCCATGCATCGTTGTCAGGGCTCTGCACCATGTCTGCAAACTGAGAAAGTGCTCTCTGGGTGGGCCGAGCTGCCACCATGCCAAATGCAGAGGATGTGTCTTCCCCATGGCCTCCATTGCTCCCATCATCCCTTGGCCGTTCTGTGAACCATGTAGCGTGCTTGAACAATGAATAGTGAATGCGCATAATGGGCATAGTCAGCACTGTCCACGCTAGCGTGCGAAAGCGAGATTCAGGATCTTTCAAGAAGATGCTTCCTTTCTGCTGACGCTTCCGCGCGAGCTTTCGCCACCTTGCTGTTTGATCTACAGGCTGTCCCAAGGCCACCCCTTCGTCCACATCCGACTCTTCTGAGACTTCTTGTCGGTTGCCGAAACAAGCCTCAAAGGCAGCAGGCAACACCTCACAGAAATGCTGTTGGGCAGCGACAAGTGAAGCGCAGGGCGCCACAGTCGTCCATTTGTTCAAGGCTGGAATACTCAT